TCCCCCTTCAAATCTAGTTTAAAGCCCTCCACTTTATGACACTTAAACTCATTCAAGTTTATTTATTTGAAGACACAGTTACCAAAATAGCAATCTGTGAAGTAAAACCAACCCTTAGTATAAATAAGCTTATCTGCAGAACCTAGGAAGCAATATTTCTCCAGCCCTAAGCCCACTCTTTTCTACCCAACCATGGATCTCTTCCTTCCCCTCAGTCGTACTTCATCCAGCTTTTTGATCACAGGACCAGATTTTTTAGATGTAGCTGCATAGGTCTTTAGCAGGGCTTTAAACATACTTTCAGTATCCGGATGAGTGCTGATGAAGGCTTTTTCCAGAACATACAAATCAACTCCTTTATCCTCTGGAAGAGCTGAAATAAAACTGAGTCCAAAGTCTATCAGCACCAAGTCCAGCTTCTCTGTGGGTGGTCGCAGAAGCATATTGGCAGTTGTAAGATCTCCATGTATGAGATCTTCATCATGCATTCGTGCTAACAGCTCACCCATCTTCTCTGCTAAGGTAAGGAGGATGCTCTCATCATTTCCACTCTGTTGTACAGAATTAATGTAATCTTGAACAGTAACTGAGTCTACAATATCTTCAAGATATATGGAGTTGGTGACATAATCCACAAAGTAGACTGCTGGAGCGGCAATTCCTATTTTAAAGAACAAATTAAATGCTAGCAGTTAATTCACAAGATTATCCAACTTTAACAACAAAACACAACCAATACAAGCCCTAACCAGAAACACCAGCTGAGATCACCCTCGTCCACCGATAAGCCACATCCAGGAATTCACCCACCAACCCCTGTTTTCCAACCCGTGCTGCACTACTCTCCAGCCTTAAACCCAGTTGGCAGCTCGAGCCTGGTAACAGGATCAGTCCCTCCTGGGGCGACACTCTCCAACAAAGGAGACATCGGGGCTTTTTGGCCGAGGACAGCCTGCATTTTAAGGGAGCACCCTTAAGAAAGTCGAGCAGGTCACCCCAGGATAAGAAACCACCTGCATCCTTCAGGATGAAGCAGGAAAGCTGTCAAGTGTCTGTTATTGCTCTGAGGGACCGGGGGGTACCGGTGAGCACGGAGGCACCCTGTGCCCAGGGGTGTCTGTCCTGTCAGGGTG